TCACTCGGTGTAGTTCAAAGCAGCACCAGCCCCCCTCTGTGGTAAATGTCTAATTCCAGGTCCTATGTACAAGCACACAACACAACACGTCCTCCTTTCCCTGGTGCCACAGTATAATTCCTAGATTAAGGTTAACGAGCCTCTCCAACCTTATTGCTGTAATTATGGCTTGGCAGTGGAACAAGACAGCAGAGCTTTTTGGTGGTTGTGCCCTTCATGACTGCCAGACATGCTGTGCCATTGCAGGATAGAAACTGTAAAAATCTTTTCACATGCAACTTGTTGCTCATGGTTTGGGTGTGGATTCAAAAAGATTCCACAGTAAGTCACTGAGATTTGTATCGGTCATGAAACGGAGAGCAGCTTATATGAGATGTGGTTTGGTTCAAAGTGTGGTCCTGCATAAGTGATGTTCTTGAATATATTTTAAACAATAGCCAGTGAGGTCCTTTCAGTGTGTTGAATTTCATCCTGTCCCCTTGCCTGTGTTGATTTGCTTTGAGTTCTCTGATTTCTTCCCAGAGTCCAAACACATGATGCAGGCTGGGTTAAGTGGCAGCTCTGAGTTGCATTTATGTGAATGTGATATTGAAGGCTTTGTCCTGCAGAGATCGACTCCACAGTCACAGTACACTATTGTCAGTAACAGTGCACTGGGACAATGGAGTCCAGTAAAATACATAAAAGATGTCTCCATCATTTACAGTCCATGGCAGCGCATGGTATGAAAACATGCTCAACAATAAGAAAATGGTGTTAGTTTGTTTTTCTTCCAGAGCTCAGTTCTCAAACTAAGCCAGTAAGTCAGATCTAAAGATTAATGGACAATGGATGGAACAGAATTCAGAGGTTTAATATCCATTTATTATTTTAGATTCCCATCTTAAGATTTGAGAAACAAGTCGAAAAGCTGAGTAAGGTTGCAAAGGCAAACTAGATGATAATATGATTTCGCCATCCATCCATCCATCCATCCATCCATCCAATTTAGGGTTGTGGTTAAGTTGGATCCCAGCTGTTATAGGGTGAGAGGCGGAGTACACCCTGGACAGGTCGCCAGGCTTTCACAGAGCTAACACAGAGAGGCAGCCATCCACGCTAGCATTCACACCTGTTGCCAATTTAGAGCCAAATATTGCTGAAATGTGGATGTCTTTGAACTAGCCCCCAAGCTTCTTGCTGTGAGACAATGGTGCTAACTGCATTTCTTCTCAGTTATTGTTTTATTTCTTGGTCGGAAGCAGCATCCGCAAAAATCGGGCCCCTTATAAAGATGGGCAATTAGAATTATGGACAATAAGTCAGTAAGGTCACACAACGACAGTGTTTAGTTTTGGTCATTTTATTATATTTAGTAGCATAAAAATATAATATAAATGTTTGCACAATTTGGCTCCCCGGGTGTGCAGTGAGCTTCCTCTTAAAGCTTTTTGTATAAATCTCAGTAACATGTGCAGCATCTACGGGTGCCATTGTGGAAATCGTAATTTCTGTTCGGAGCGTCGACATGTGGAATTCCTTACTTACACAAATGAACCCGGAACCCCGTTTTGGATCATTTTAAACTCAAACTTTCATGAATAATCTGCTGCCTCTTGTTTTATGGCACTTCAGTACACAGTAGTGCGTGCACTGTTCCATGTTGCCTTTCTTTGTTTTTACTGTATTTGGCTTTTGTGTTTCCTAATTCATGAATATACTGTACATTGCATGTGCACACTAGCTTAGGAGGTAAATGCTGGGTGTGGCATGGTTCATGCCCATGTCCTACAAAAGTTCACAAATTATTTCACAGACTTTACACTGTCCGTTACCTCCAGGCCCTGATTCCTTTTCTCATATAGCGTTCTCTGCACGGCCTTTAAACAGCCAGGAAAAATCAAAAAGAGTCCAACACAGATTCATGCAGGTGACCCCTGATGTTCTGCACTACTGCACAGGTCAGTCTAAGGAATCCTTCATCCCAAGATCCAGGTGTGCAAAGACAACGCTGCCAGCTACGGCTACTTTCCACCTGTAAGATCTATGCACTCAAAAGTCGGTTTTAAATAAAGGAGGGCGCAGCCTGTGTGAGGCTCCTCTTGTCCCATTAACACCTTTTTTCACAGTGGCTCCGTCACCACAGCTCAACCTTGAGGTAGTTCTCCTCTGGCAGACAAGAAAGACTTCTATTTTACACAAGATATTTTATTCCCGATGGCTCTGCGTGCTCATCAGGAGAACAAAAGGCAAACATGAGGTTGGGTTTTGATAAATAGCCGCATGTCTTTCCTAGCAGATTGTTTTTGGCAGGCTTGAGAGAGTAGGTCTCTCTCAGGCAGATTTACTGCATGCCAGAGGCTGAGGATTGAGGAATGTCCCCCTGCAGTGAGAAAGAGAGGGCCATGGGAGGGTGAACAAGACAGACTGAGGCATCTGTACTTCCAGATGATATAAGACCTGACAGTAGGACATGATTTTTTTTAAGTATCAAAGGATTTGGAGCGCTCGCCCTCTCGCTCCTCTCCCATGAGACATTCTGAGTATTTCCAAATTAAGACTTCAAATATCAGAACTTAATAAGAGCCGTTAGATGTTAACTCTTATTGCTTTAAGTGGAAAAGACTGTTTAAGCAACTGCAAGCCACACATTATTATTATTATTATTATTATTATTATTATTATTATTATTATTATTATTATTATTATTATTATTATTATTACAATGAGGGAATGCCGTCTTGAATATGGCCCCTTCAAACACAACGGTTGCTTGATGGCAGTCGATAAGTGTTTTTCTACATGACAAGCTGCCCCACATTTTGATCCATCAGGGTTACATCTGTTTATACTGGCTATAACCCACCCTGAGAGGACAGTGAATTAAGCACATTAATCCTTATCCTCACTATAAAAAGGATATAAAGCAGGAAAGCTCCACCATAAGCCATATTTGCTTAGGCAGGAGATTCCACTTTGCTCTCATTTAATTTCTTTCATGCTTGTTTTGTAGTCAAATGCATATCATGGGTTGACTATTGGCCTAACCCTCACACTCCTTGCTACTGGTTGCTTGCAATTTTTAGTGTGCTACATGGGATTATCAGAGATTATCTGCTGTTGCAACTGCTGCAAGCTACTCTAGTTAAGATAAAATGCCTAACATGGAAATCACAAACAGCAAAACAATGCCGGCGTCTGCTTGGGAACCTTTTTCTTTAGTTTTTTGTTTTCTTTACTTGACTCGATTTCAAATTTTGCTGTTCACCCACAACTTCTTACTGGAACAAAAAAGTTTCTGGCTGTTGAAGGGTGTTTGTGTTTAGGAAGGATGTTGGCTAGAAACCTGCTCTTCCTGAATCAGCTTGTGTCTGCGTGCTAGAGTCATGCGGTGTAGGGGATTACATTCCCCTGTAACCCTGTCCTTATGCATTAGATCGCAGTCTGTGCAATGCATTCACATTTATATCACTTGATATATTAAGGCAAATTCCCAAAATGACAGAAGCTTGTCTGTGCATGAGCCAACCCTCTCAAGATGGATGAAACATGACCGATACTCATGCTTATAAAACAAGCCGTTTTCCATTTACTTACATGTCATCTCAGTTTCTATTGCCTTGATGGATTTTTTTTAAAGATCAATGGTTATTTTAATGCGCACAGCAGAGCAGTAGCTCTTGAAAGTCAGAAATAAAACCATATCCTACAGGTTTTTATCATACTGTGTTATTTGTCTTTGAAGAAGACAAGTATATATATATATATATATTTGCAAACACCTATCAAGTGTATAAAAAATGCATAGGCGCTCATGCATATTCAGGTACACCTGTGGTTGGCTTCTCATGCAGTGGCATTCAGGCATGCCCAGCTATGCTTCTGGATTTCAGCATCACCTGAAAGGATTTAATTTCTCTTTGATTCCTTGGTATCTCTGGTATCTTTCCCCACCAGCCAAGAGTGAAAACATTATTTATATCTCTCTTAGCCCATTGTGTCAAGTTACATGACTAGAATGACTTCTGAGACAGAGGTATGTTAAACGAGTGGGAAACAGCACAACCAACGAAAGAAGTGTGGGTTTTTTTTTAATAGTGTTATCACGTGCTGTCAAATAAAGCTACGCTTCTTGGGAATTATGCAAAACTGTTTAAGGAACACAAAAACTTAATGTGAGTGAGTGTTTGTGTGGGCATGACGTCACCTAATTGGCTGGCTGCCTATCACATTTTATTCATATTTTATCATCTTGCAGACTTCCAGTGTCATGCAACTAAAACAGAATAAACACCCAGTGGAGAATTCGTGGCCGTGCTGCAGAAACAGAGCGAACAATACACCTCTGTTCCAAAACTTTCTGGGGAAAACCAGGACTAGTTTGTGTGTATTTGTCTAGACGGCTGTGACAAGTCATTACTATTGGCAAACAGTTACACATGGGGAAAAAGAAAGCACAACAAACAACAATGCTATAGTATTAATTCAAGTGGCACCAGCGTATTAAACAACCACATTTTGAGAGCTTAAAGAGAGGGAATAGAGAGGTGAACTCATACTAATTATTCCCGTAAGGGAAGACTGTGGTCTTGACTGGTTTTGTATAATGGTTAGTCCATACATATTTAGAGACATTTGATAGAACCCAACAAGCTTATAGTGTTTGGACATTTCATCTATATTATAGCCCCAATATTTTTTGTGGTAATCAGTACTTTCTTGGGGGGATCCTAATAATATGGATATGATCTTTGAACGTGTTGTGGGATGCTACAGGTGCTGCTGAGCCCAGCAAATGGTATAAATGCCATAAAACAATAGTTCATGCAGCGTTCACAGACAAGTGGTTTTTATGATACGTTTGCTCAGAGACAAGCAGTAGCCTGCATCTATGCAGGATCCAGCTCGGATTCATTCCTCCTCACCGGCCTGGCTTGTGTATGTTCTGTGGGAGAAAGAGAGAGGCGGGACCTTGACGCCGGGAAGGGCGTTCTCTTTGCGGTCAGACCGGGCAGAGTCATCCCGAGGGGTGGGTCCTCCGGCAACAGAAAAGGAAAACCCACCTTTTTTCATTGTTAAGGACGCGGTGGAATGTGATGGTTTGATCTCAAAAGGACCAGGGAGGGGAATATCCGAGAGGAAAGGACCAGCGAAAGCGACTGAGGGAAAGGGGGAAAGCAGAAAGCGGTTCCCCCCTATCGCCTCCAACTCTCTGGTCTTGACTGAGAATATGTGGATGAACTTGTCCCGGCCGTGTCGGCTGCAGCGAGCCCTACCGTCCGCACGAGCTCAACCCGCGTGAAGTTGTGGATTTACCGTTGCGTTTTCCGGACCCGGCGGTGGAACTGCTGAGGTAAATTTGAGTCTTTATTCTGTGTTTGGGGTTGGAGGAAGACGCGGAGTGTATATTTGGGGATTCACACAGCGGCTTGTTGAGACTCGAGGAGTCCGGACTGCAGAAGTCTGAACTGCGGCAAGTTTTTCAGCCCTCCTCCTCCTCCTCCTTCTCGTCGTCGTTCTTAAGCCAAATTGAAGCATCCAGCTCTGCAGGGAAACCTCAGGTGGTTAAAATGTTGCCGCACATAAACCGTTCATATCTTCTTTTGGTAACACTTGGCATTTTTGTTATGAGGTTGCGTTTATCTGCTTCTGCACTCGATACGTTTTTTTTTACTGCTTTACGCACATAGTAACGTCAGTCCTTTCAGACTGACTGCCCGGGCTGTAGGAACATGGAGTAGAAGTGTGGAGGCTGCTTGGACGTGTTCTTGACATTTGTTGTGTGTGTGTGTGTGTGTGTGTGTGTGTGTGTTGCATGTACTTAGACTTTTCAGTGTAGGGAGTAAATAATTGTGATATAAACACTGCCCCGTGTTGGAGTTGTGTTGACAAGGGGATGTGATGTGGTCATTGTTTATTATCTTTGAAACAATGCATTACACAAACTAGTTGTGAAATACATAGCCGAAAACATGTCTTAACTTTGCATGGCAGTCTGCTCAGCTGTGAGTACTCTGCTACACAGTGCTGTGAATATACGATGGTCTGGACTCTGCTGCCATATCGGAAGGTTTTTATACTGAACAATATGATGATATGTGATTGTAGAGTGCCACGCAAACAATATATATATTGCCTACGCTCAGTTGTAAGCTACATACTAAAAAAACCACAAACTGGGCTCAAAGCCATCCTTGGGCCACATACATACAGACCAGCCTATGGTGTACACAGACCACCTACTGAATGAGCTTATTTTCAAGTTGGTAAGGAAAGTTTGAACTCCCTTGTTAGAATAGAGTTAATTGATCCATTTCACAGCTGTTTAAACAGTGGACAATCTAGCCTATAAGAAACATATAACCTATTTAAATTATAGACATTTGCTTGAAATTCTGGTCCAATCTGAGTGTCTTTTCTCTTTTTGTCTCAGGGAAACATAAAAATATGAATATATACATGACTGTTTTTTGGCAAAACTATCTAGTATTACTCAACAAGACCAATACTGACTGATAATAGTTTTTACCCAATTGTCTGGGCCATTCTTAGACTGGAATGCAAATACAAAATCAGGCATTTCCATCAACTAATATAACTGAAATTGCCACGTTAAAGGACAACTAAAACAACTGCAATGTCCTGCTGCCCTTGGATGTTTTGTTAAAGGTACTAACATGACAATACATCCTTATTCTGTTTGAGTATCGGCCTACACGTGTGAAAACAATGTGGTGCTGGTGGTGGTAGGGGCGTAGTCTGAACAGTGTGTGTCCTGTATTCCTTCACCAGAATGGTGACAGATGAATGTGTGCGCATGTGTAAACAGCAGAAAAGGTACTTGTGGTGGTGGAATACTAATCTGCCAGGTGGGGCTCATAAAGAGCACCGAGGGGAAGGGAGGAGATGGAGGGGACCTGCCTTGACCTGTTTGAGACATGAAGGAGACAAAAAAAAATCCCTGATGAATTTCCAGTAAGGCTCGTCCTCCCAGCCAGCTGTAGAACATACCAGCTGAGCTACCAGCTCGGACAGGCACTTGCAGGGAAGCTTGTCACAGTGGTAGATGCGCAAAAAGGGCTTATTTTGGTATTTCTGGGTGGGATTATTAAACCGCATGTGGAGGGAATGTTGGCAGTTTATGCTGTCAGTTTGGAAATGTTGGGGTGGAAATGTAAAGGGGAAAATCAAATGAGAGTAACAGCGAAGTGAGGAGTAAGATGTCTAAATTTCCCCTGATTAATGTCTGATCTCTGGCGCGTCCATTCCCCGGAAAATGCGCTCAAAGTTTGGTTTGGTTCAGTTGGCTCTTGCGGGGGGGGGGGGATATTTCACAGCAGATGCCCTCTTTGACCTTCTTTCTTTGACACCACTGCTCAACACAATGATAGTTGTTAATGTTGACACAGCAGAAGTGTCAGCACTACTAGCACCTGTTCTGCGATCTTTACAATGAATGCCAAGAAGTGAAAGTTGCACAAAGAGTTTGCAGCACTTTTTTTTTTTTCCCCTCCGGGGGTTGTCGCCTGCCATTCGCAGTAATAATCATACCTCTTTCTCCTCTTTTATGACCTGAGCTATAGCACGCATGATTGGTTTTCCACTCCGCAAAGCGCTGCGACCGCCCTATGAAACTGCCTGCACTGCTTTGGGTGAAACCAAAAACTAATCATTATGGGTGTCCAATAAGGGTAATTATCAGACTAAGCACTGGACCTGTGGATTACGGAGTGGCTAAATAAATGCTCTGGGGATTAAATTAAAATATTGAGGTTTTCTGCCTGGGAAAATCAAACCACCGGGAATGTCAAACCCAAGCCTGTCGACGGTAATATTACTGCCACTCCGGACATCAGGGTTTATACACACTCCCTCCTGTGAGTGTTGCGCGATCACACATCAGTGTGGAATTACACGACATTGGCACTGACGTCATGCGTTGCAAGTGCAAAGAAATAAGAACGCATATTGTCATTGCTGTGATTGATTGAAGGAACTACCGTACTATAGCTGTCAGTCCTTTTCCTATGATATCAAAAAATGGAGGGGACAAAAACACCTCTTGTTGCTATTCCCTGTTATACACATAAGAAACAGCTCTAAAACCTATAGAATCATAATTTCTATTCAGTAACTGCATATTATCGTAGGTTAGATCATTCTCTGCTCTGTGGTCTCTCTCTCATCACCCAGACTCTCGCCCATCTCTGTGTGTCACAATTAGCATTATAGCAGATTATAGCACTGCATTACTTGAGTAGGTCGCTTTTTCACATTAATGTTCCTCGTGGCTTCATTCAGACACAGAGGGAGCCACAGATTACTTGCAGGTCGGACACGTGCAGCTACATTAGTCTGACCTGGTCAGATTGCGGTCTGAAGCTTTGCAAAGTTGTGTGAACCTGATATGATCAGATTAATGGAAAGCGGTGCATTTCTAGGAGTCCTCAAAGGTATAAATGGGAGAGTCAGCACCCACACGAGCAGCATAACCTATACATCCTAATATGCTGTAATAGATAGCTCGTCTAGAATTGGGGCCGGATGGTGTTGGTTATTCTTAGAGGTAGACTCTCTCTTTCACCCTCAGTAACCCTCTCACCCAGGAATAGAGCAGCGCAGGATGCAAAGTGATGTTGTTACGAACCTACCAGGGGCCTACTTGAAGTAGTGGAAATGAATCATGATCTCTGAGCGCCTTCTGTTGAAGCCCACACTCATCCTGTGAGCGCATAACATTTTATGAATGTGTGTGTTTTGTGATAATGCAATAAATGACTCCGGATCCGGGACAAGGGCTGCTGCTGATAACATGCAAGCCAGCTGGAGCTGCTGTCTGTGTATAAGCAGACTTGTAGGAAGATGGCTTAGTGCCACGATGACGGGAGCGTGAGGCTTTGACTGGACGTATTGTACATGTCGCGTGTTTATGTGTTTAAAGTAGAAAGAGCTGAAAGGAGTAGTGAATCAATCAGTTAGTTAGTCATCTGAGAACATCAACATGAAGCTAATCTGACAGTTGACGGTGTCATTTATTTTTAAAGCATAAATGATAAAACACGCTCAGCTTCCAGGATTTCCTTTGTGGAAAACCTGTGTTGTTTATTCCCCTTTTATGATCATAAACATCAGAGTGCACATTAAGAATTCATTAACTGAAAGGTTTCAGTCTTAAATTATTATTTACTTATAAAAATAAAAAAACAAGATGCTGATACCGCAGGTGTTTACACACGTTTCTGTGTGCAGTTCTGTCTTTAACTGTTTGAACAGTGAATGAATAGGGGGAAAAATTGGAAAAATGAAAACAATGAACTAAAAGCAGAAGTTATAAACCAAACATAACTTGTCTTTTTCCAGGTGCTGAATTATTTTGGTCTTGGTTTGCTTTTTTTGATTTTCAGTTGATTTTGATCAGCAGTGACGGGCCTGAAACAGGGCAGAGCTCTGTGATTCCAGCTGGAGTTCAAACTTTTTGAACTCTCTGTTTATTCATGGGCTCATTTTATGTGAGCCTACGCAGGTATTTCTGCATTTGAAGGTACTTTTGCTTAGTGCTGTCATCAGATCCTAGAGGCTGAGAGTGTCAGTCACTCAGCGAGCAGTAGCCAGAGGTACATTTTAGCCCTGAGTGTTCACACAACTTGATAATAACTCATACGCTGACACACTAATACATGCTCTCACTCTGTAAGAATGTCAAGACAAGAATGGATTCTGCTGATATCCCTTCTAGTGTGTGTGTAAGTGTAAACGAATCTCCATTGTTAGTCTTTCATAGTGTGCCAAACAGCCTCGCAACTCCTCTCGAGGGCTTTTTTATCGTGTAGTTGAATGGCCACTTACGGAGGTTTCAATATTGCACTTATCTCATTTGTTTGTAGCTGTAGGCGTATGTGACTGTGGAGCATCTGCAGTACAATTTCATGCTAATGCACGATTTAAAGGTTAAAATCTTGATTGTATTTTGTCACGATTTACATTAAAATCTCCACCAATCTTGCACGAATTTGTTTGTGGAATGTCGAAATTGGTTCGGAATTTTTAATTTCAAAATAAAACTGCTTTACTTTTATTTTCATGCTTTGGATTTATCCATCCTTTGTCTGATCACAACTGAAAACAACAACTTTTGGCCATTTCTTTACTCATAACTCGTTTTATTTAACAGAATTATGAGTAGTAGGCCCGTACAGGTATTCAGACTCAGCACAAACATTTTTTTTTTTTTATCACCGCGTCGGACCACAGTGTAGAAACAGTAGACAAAGGCTTGGATGTGAATCGGGTGTGCAGAAGCTGTATGGTCGTGCAAATGTCAAAGAAGCATGCAAGCATTTATAGATAGAAGTG